TATATCAAGGCAACCCTGTTACATTTCTCATATACCCTTTTAGAATAGTTTGTCCAAATAAAGCACCTGTCTCTTAAATACACACAAATGACCAAGTTTTAAGTTTTAGGCTTTTGTCATCTTGTTTGGTGCTACATTTTAGAGGTTTTTTTTTTTTTTTCCATCATTAGCACATAAAAATCTGCCTCACTCTTTTTCAGTTGCACTGCAATTCATTATACACCTTGCTGACTATTTCTTCATTTTGAGTGTAGACAAATCCATCTATAGAAATAAAACAGGTAACTTGGTAATATACCATCATAATATCCTGTAAAGAGGCTATCTCAAACTTATCTCAGCAGGTTCTGATGAATGGGTTTCCCCCTCACTTTCATACTGTGGAGTTTATTTTTATCTTTTCCAATGTATTAGATAAAAATTTATCTGGTTTCAGGAATTGAAGAGATGGCTCAGTGGTTAAGAACACTTGCTGTTCTTTCAGAAAACCAGGATTCAAATGCTAGCACCCACATGGTGGTTAACAACTATCCATAACTCCAGTTCCAGGGGATTCGACACCCTCTTTTGTCCTCCATGGGCACTGCAGGACATGGGTGCACTTACATACATGCAGGCAACACACACATACATGCTGGGATTAAAGGCGTGAACTACCACGTCTGGTTAACATTTAAAAAAAATATTTTATTATTTTAATTTTATATGTATGAGCGTAGTGTCTGCATGTATGTAAGTGCACCCAGTCAAGGAATGCCCAAGGAGGTAAGAAGAGAGCATTGGATTCCCCTGGAACTGAAGTTAGAAACAGCTGTTAGCTACCATGTGGGTGCTAGGAATCAAATCCCAGTCCTCTGCAAGAGCAGCCAGTGCTCCTAACTGCTGAGGCATCACTCCCAGCCCACTTAAAGAGAGATGATTCTGTTTTTAATTTTCGAAATTCTTTGTCTTGGGGCTAGAGAGATGGCTCAGCTGTTAAGAGCACTGGTTACTCTTCCAGAGGAACTGGGTTCAGTTCCCAATATCCACTGGAGGCTAACAACCGTCTGTAATGCCAATTCCAGGGGATCCAACACCTTCTTCTGGCCTCTGTGGGCACTGCATGACATGTATGCACTTACATACATGCAGGCAAAACACACACCAAATAAAAACCATTTTAAAATGAATTTAGCTTACTAAAATAAGAGGTGAATTGGTAACACTGTTAGGTTTCAATCTCAATTCTGAAGGTATCACTAGACTCACTAAATTTATTTGCTATCATAATTAGTAAAGTAGGTGTTCAGAGTTGCTACAACAGACACTTTACTCAGGACGTTCTGCTAAAGTGAAGCTGTAACTCACACTGCATAATAGGATTTTGTCAAAATAAGGTATGTTTGAGGACGATTCTAAGTTTCTTAATTTTGAAGAATTTTATCTTAAAGGTTATTACAGTATTTGAGTCAGTATTTGAGTTTAATCACTTAAAAAATTAGATTTTAGGCTGGGCGTGGTGGTTCACACCTTTAATCCCAGCACTTGGGAGGCAGAGGCAGAGGCAGAGGCAGGCGGATCTTTGTGAATTCGAGGCCAGCCTGATCTACATAGTGAGTTCCAGGACAGCTGGGGCTACAAGGAGACCGTCTCAAAAAAGACAAAAAAAATTTAGATTTTGTTACCTTTATGGCACACGTAGACGTTTTACTCTTACTGCTTTAATTACAGGAAGACTTTTAGTATACTCACGTAACTGTACTACAGCACTTTCTCCATTTGTTGCAATGTAGTGCAGGGTTTGCTCTCCATAGTAGGAAGCGCCTGTCTTGTCAACATCTGTACTAGCTATTACCAGCAAGGCGGTAGCTATAAGTGTAAAAAATTTCATTAGATTAAAAACATAAATTGCCATCTATTCATCTACAAATATGTCTAAATGTTTGGTAACAAAAATTAGGAATAAAAACAGCATACCTTTTTTATTCCATAGCATTGTAACTTTATCAGCTTTAAAGAAACTTTTATTGGCTAGTGCTGCATGAGGTCCTTCAAAGTTGGGGTATTGATATAATCTAACAAATGAAGGTGCACCTTTACTTCCTGGCACATAGACTGCCACCTAAGACACACAAACGTGAATCACTACTTAATTTTTATCTTTTATTTTTATGTATTTATTAGGTTTTTTTTTTGAGACAGGATCTACCTGTAGCCCCAGCTGGTCTGGAACCCACAGAGATCTGTCTGCCTCTGCCACTGGAGTGCTGGGATTAAAGGTGGGTGCCACCATACTATGCCCCATTACTAAAGTTTTAGATGCATACAAACTAAAATGGATGTGTTTGGTTTTTTAAAATATTTTATTATTTTCACTTTATGTGTATGAGTGCATTGCCTGCAAGTATGTGAGTGCATCCGTATCATGCAAGGTCATGGAGGTCAGAAGAAGACTTCAGATTCCTCTGGAACTGGAGTTAAGAATGGTTCATAGCCACCATGTGGGTGCTGGGAATCAAACCCGGGTCCTCTGCAAGAGCAGTCAGTGCTCTTAACTGCTAAGCCATCTCTCCAGCCCCCAGATGGATGTGTTTTTACAATTACTTTTTTAAAAAGGAAAAGATATTATGTTCTATGTCTATAAATAAAAACAAAGAACTTACTTTACAAGGGTGGGGTCCAGGTGATAAATTAAAGTCATTAACTTTTTGCAAATGTAGTTTATTTGCAATGGTGTCTAAAATGAGAGGAAACAGTGTTAGATTGATGAGATAAGAAGAACACATTAAACTCTGAATTCATTATGAAAGGTTACTATAACTACAAATGAATACTGCTCATTGTAGTTTCATATAGATGAAAAAGAGCAGTCATTATGTAGTTGAGAATGACCTTGAACTTCTGATCGTCCTGCATCCACCTCCAGAGTGCTAGAATTATAGCTGAGAACCCAGGACTTCCTACATTCGAGGCCAACAGTCTACATACTTATCTTCTATCACATGCTTCTTAATAAAGAACACCATTGTATAATGTAGTCTTGACCTTACCCACCAAAAAACAAACCTGATGCTCAACAACTCCAAATCCAACTAGCGATTTATAGAAGACAGATAACATGTCAAATTATACAATGGGCGATGAATGCAAAATTCAAACTATGGGAAATATGCAAGATAAATAACATTTTTTAAATAAATTGCAAGAGGTAAAAAAGAGATTGAGTAGGAACCTAGAGATTAAACAAAATGAAAGAAAACTGCAACGCATGGCAACTTATTTGGATTCTGAGTTTAAAAATTATAATATTTGTAAATACTAGAAGTTTGACTACTGATCAGATATTTAATGATTTGTAATAATGATTCTATGGCTAAGTTTAAAAAAGTAAGGACTCAGGCTGGAGAGATGGCTCAGTGGTTAAGAACACTGGGTGTTCTTGCAGAAGACCTGGGTTTGAATCCCAGCACTCACATGGTGGCTAATAACTGTCTGTTCCAGGGGATCTGACAGCCTCTTCCATCCTCTGCAGGCATTGCATGACATGGTTGCACTTACCTACATGCAGGCAATACACGCACACACATAAAAATAATAAAATATTTTTTTAAAAAAGTAAGGACCCTAACCTTCAGGTATATATTTAAATACTTGCTGGTAACTGGTAAAACTTAAATCGGGAATTTGCTTTAACTTAGTAAGAGACATGACAGTTGAAAGACTGTAAGAAAGAGAGGATGGCCATGGCTGACAGATATTGAAACTGAAATTCTATACAATGAAACATTTTTAGGCCAGGTATGGTAGCATACACCTTTAATCTCAAGAGGCAGATCTCAGTGAGCTCAAGGGCAGCCTGGTTTAAACTGTGAGTTGCAGGCCAGCCAGGGCTACATAGTGACACCTTGCCTCAAAAAAAAAAAAAAAAAAAAAAATTCCAATAGCAGTTAAGATCAAGAAGTATTCTAATATCTTAATGTAATAGCTATTGTGTAATAATAGTTATTGTGAAAAAGAACATCTTTATGCTACAGAATATCATCAGCATTCAGATTTACAAAGAATTATGCAAATAAACACAATAACAAAAATAAATACATTAATAGTATTTAGGATGACCCTATGATGCCATATGAGTTAATGAAAACTATGCATTTAGGACGGGGATATAGCTCAGTGGCAGAACACTTGCCTAGTATGCATGAGGCCCTGCGATTAATTTCCAGAACTGAAAACAAACAATTAAAAAACTAACAAAAACACCTGAGAGGCAGAGGCAGGCAGATCTTGGTGAGATTGAGGTCAGCCTGATCTACATAGTGAGTCATAGGCCAGCTGGGGATACAGGGAGACCCTGTCTCAAAAACAAGCAAGCAAACAAACAAACAAAAAAGCAAGCTAAGAAAACTCTGAAAACTATATATTTAAAATAAATAATACAGTTATTAAGTATTTAATAAGTCTTTCCATACTAAAATTGTTGTTTTCGAAGAAGTGAACTTCATTGTTAACAATTCGAGCACAAATAATTTCATCATCTGACCAGGATGGACACCTATGTTAAAAGAAAAAGTATATTAATATAAAAGGTAGACCCATTGACATTTATAACGCTATTCAAGATAAAACATTTATAAATATGTCTGCTGCTAACAGTCTTATTAAACAGTATATGTAATCGAAAAATATTATTTCTTTCTTTTCAAAAACGGAACAAGAGAAAGATAAAATTTTTAGTCTAATACACTCCTATATATTTTAAATCTTTATAGAGATAGATTTTGGTCTAATTTATTCTCAAAGTCAATACCAGAGAAACAAATGTGTATGATAACATTTTAAATATCACGCATTTTAAAGCATTTATTTACCAATTTTGCATTTTTTTCTGTATGAAGGATTTCAAACATGTCCCAGTTTTCACATCATAAAGTTGGAGGTTGGGTGTCCCAGCTGTGCCATCTTTAGAAGCTGCAATAAAAATTTTTTTTTGCAGTGATTGTCCTTTTTTTTTTTTGGAGCTGAGGACTGAACCCAGGGCCTTGCACTCTACCACTGAGCTAAATCCCCAACCCCTAGTGATGGTCTTTTAACACTTGTAAGAAGGCTTCATATAAAATGTTGAACATCACTAAGAATATCAAGTAAAAGAGTTGTCCTAAATCAATTTTTCTTTCTAGCCTTAATTATGAAGCTAATCACTCATTCCTAAAACCATGAGAACATGACAGTTGTTTCAGTGAAAGCCCAGCATCTCTGAAATGATCAGATATGATGGGTTTTAAGAATACTGAGAGATTTCTTATTTATTAACTCTGATATGGATTACTGGTGAAATAGATTAAGTCATGAAAGTTTACACCTATCTGTCATGCAAAGAAGATTCATCAGAGCCATGTCTCCTGACACAGTAAAACCCTAGAGGCTTATAACCCAATAACAAACTATGTATCAAGACTGGCATTGTTAGAGAAATATTTCTCTTTCTTCCCCCTGACCCCCTGCTTTGGTCTTATTGAGACAAGGTCTCCCTGTAGCCCCAGCTGGCCTCAATCTCACAGAGATCCACCTGCCTCTGCCTCCTGAGTGCTGGGATTAAAGGCTTGTGCCACTATGTCCAGCCAGAGACAGGGTCTCTTATATTCCAGGCTGACCCCAAACTTTCTATGTAGCTGAGGATGATCTTGAACTTATGATTCTCAAGGTGATGGGATTACATGCGCTACTGCACCCAGCTTATGCAGTGCTGGGATCAAACCCAGGGCCTCATGAATGCTAAGTAAGCATTACCAACTAAGGTACATCCCAACCCATATTGTTTGTGGATAAGGCATGGTTACATAAAGTCTCCTTGCTTCAGCTTCTTCTTCAGATACTTAACTGTCATAACACACTTTTTTGATATTATATCAACTGTACTTTCTTTTACTCATAAGTATTTTAAATATTCTACATCTTTAGAGATCTTTTCTAGTCAGCAGTTATTTACTTTCTAAACTTTCTCTTGAGCTTTTTTGCCCTTCTCTCCTCATACATCTTTCACTAACCTACTATAATCAGCTTCCTCTCATCTGTGGTTTCACTTTCTGCCGTATCAGTTATTTACAGTCAACCATGGCCCAAAAGTATGAAAGGGTAATTTCCAGAAATAAGCAGCTGGTACGTTTAATTGCATACAGTCATCCCATTCTGTCTACCTAGGACATGAGTCATCTTTTTGTCTTGTGTACCCAAGTTACAGCCAGATGCTCCCTAGTCATCAGTCACCCACCAGCATTCCTGGGTATTTTATCTACTGTCAGAGTACAA